ATTGTCCCGAGCGGCCGCGGGAGGTCCGAATGAAGGCCCGAAGGCCACCAGGCGTCGAGGAGGGAGTGAGGATTAACAGGGGCGCGTGAATGTTGTCGCCATGGCCATGAAGTCTTCCAGATTCCATGACCCTCTTCTGCGGGGGTGGACAGGGTTTCTCCGAAGGGCTTGTGACCCGTTCTCCTCCTCCTCCACCTCCTTCTCCTCCTCCTCCTCCTCCTCCTCCTCCATCTCCCCCCTCTCCCTCCTCCACCTCCTCCTCCTCTCCTCCTCCTCCTCCTTCTCCTCCTCCTGCTCATGCTCCTCTTCGGGGTTGGGCAGAGACCCCACCCTGACACGTCGATTGGTGAATTGTTCGTTTTCGGTTCTCGAGAGGGCGCCGCGGCCGTCAGTTTCCAGGCTCGCGCCCGCCAGGTTTGGGCCCGAGGTCGTTTTCACCACACCCGTTTTACTAAAGGGGGTTCTGTCCATCCCCGAGTTCCGCTCTTTCAGCACGTTCCCTGACCCCCCCCTCTTCCGCGCACGTGCCTCGGGCCACGATGCATTAAGCCCCCTCTTCCCAGTTCCCCTCTTCGGCGCACCCGGGCCAGCGACTTCGACGCGGGCGACCCCATCAGGAACACGGCGGTGGCGCTTGCGCTCATGAGGGAGGTTCCCGAGACCTCCAAGGGATTGAAGCAGGAATCGAGACGGAGGCCTTTCGCCGACTTTGCTGTCCCTGGGACCGTGGAACGACAACTCGGGACGGAGAGCTTGCCCTGGGGAAGCGATCGGGACACCTGGGGGTCCCGTAGAAAGACGTATCGAGGCATCGGATCTCCGGGTCCGCGGCAGGCAGGCATCGGCTCCGAGGCATTGATCTTGGCAGTCGTCGGGAATGTTTTTCCCGAGGCTCGGCCTCCAGGGGCCGTCTTCGGGCCCCAGGGCGATCACCAGCGGGTCCAGCGAAACATGGAGGCCTTGGATCTCTGGGTCCGCAGCAGGCAGGCATCGGCTCCGAGGCATTGACCTTTGCAGTCGCCGGGAATGTCTTTTCCCGAGGCTCGGCCTGCAGGGGCCGTCTTCGGGCCCCAGGGCGATCACCAGCGGGTCCAGCGAAACATGGAGGCCTTGGATCTCTGGGTCCGCAGCAGGCAGGCATCGGCTCCGAGGCATTGACCTCTCCAGTCGCCAGGAATGTCTTTTCCCGAGGCTCGGCCTCCAGGGGCCGTCTTCGGGCCCCAGTGCGATCGCAAGTGGGTCCAGGACGAAGAAACTGCCCGCCGTGGTGCTGCCGACCTCCTCCGCCTCGAGGCGACGAGGCGAAGACGACGAGGGAAGGTCGCGGCGACGCGGCGACGTGCCGCAGCCAGCCGTGGCCACGAGGACAGGTCCTCGGTGCCGTCGAGGTCGCCGTCGAAGGCGAGGGGCCCCCCGGACGCCCCTCGCAGAGCACCCCCGGGCCCGCAGCGGCAGACACCTCCGACAGCGCCGGGAACTTTGGGGCCTCGGACAGCTGGGGCTGTACAGTCGGGGCCCTGAAGAAGGAACCCTTTTCGTTGGGGAGGGGCTCCGCGTTCCTCAAGTGTTTCGCAGCTTGCCTCAGGCTTTCCTTAGGTCTTCGACAGGAAAGCGAGGGTTAACTTATGGGAAAGAGGGGCCTCGTTCCTTATTTAGGGTTGCTTAGGTCAACGCCCCGACTGTACACCACCATGGCTGGCTGGGGCCGTCCTGGGGCCCTGTAGCATGGACACAACGGCGCTCACGCGGCCTCGGCCTCGGCCTGGGGCCCAGGACCCGAGAGGCCCGCGGCAGCTGCGCGGGCAGAGAGGCCCCCTCGGAGGCCCGCGCGGCTCTCCCGTGTCGGCCTCGGCGGGGCCCTGGGCCCGAAGAGGCAGCAGCTGCATACAGGCAGGGGCCCCCTTGGAGGTCCGCGCGGCCTTCTCGTGTCGGCCTCGGCGGGGCCCTGGGCCCGAAGAGGCAGCAGCTGCACCGGGGAGAGGCCCCCGGGGCTCCGCGCGGCTTCCTCGTCATCGGCGCCGGAGCCTTCTCTCTTCTCCCCGGGTCGCGCCCAGCGGGCGGCGCCCGGAGGCGCTGGCCGGGCGGAGGCGCTGGACGGGGGGCCCAGCGCCGACCTAAGAAATCTGCGCGGACCTCCGAAAATTGTTGGAGGTGGATCGACCTCCTACCCTGACACGTCGATTAAGGAATTGGCCGTCTTCCGTTCGCGAGAGGGCGTCGCGGCCGCCATTTTTGCGGGTCCAGGTCCGTCGGTTTTGGTCCGAGGCCGTCTTCACTAAAGGGTGGTATACTAAAGGGAGGTTTGTCCAACGCCGAACTGGTGCTTATGTTTTTCTTTTTTCGCCTCGTGCTGACCACACTGTGATTGCATGCTGGCCTCACCGTGGCCGCGCGCAGACCTCCGAGCGTTGGTGTTTCTGAGTTTTTTTCTCTTCTCGCCTCTGGCTGACCGCACCGTGAGTCCATGCTGGCCTCAACGTGGCCGTTGACTGTGGGTGTCCCCCCCTGGGAAGCGAAGGAGTTTATGAGCCTCTTCTTCTTCTTCTTCTTCTTACTTGTATTATTACTATTACTATGGTTCTTATTCTGATTACTCTTACGATTATGATTACTATTTGTATTATTCGTAGTATTGATAGTATCACTATTACTATTATTATGATTATGAGTACTGTCAGTCGTACTATTCGCGTCTGATTCTTATTATCATTCATCTTTGTATGCTCATCAATATTATTAGTCTTCCTCCTCCTTCTTATGTTTCTTATTTGCCATCTTCATCCTCTTCTCTTATCATTATTTACTAGGTGTTTATTCGTATTCTTATTATTATCTTCTTCCTCTTCTTGTTCTCTGGTTCTTATTCGTATTAATCATCTTCTTCTTCTTCTTCTCATTCTTCTTCCAGGAAGGGCCCTGGCCAGGCCTGGTGGTGGTGTCCGCGCCACCTCTGCCGCACAGGTCAGCCGCGGCCTGTCGACGGCCTGCGCGGACGGCCCCCTGCAGCTGGCCTGGAGGACCCCAAAGTCCAGCGACGAGCAGCGCCAGCTGACCAGGCTGCGGCTCAGCCTCGGCGCGGTGCTCCTGTTCGCGGCCCTGAGGCCCAGGGGCGCCGTCCGCCTCCTCCTCCTCCTCCTCCTCCTTCTCCTCCTCCTTCTCCTCCTCGTCCTCCTCCTCCTCCCTCCTCCTCCTCCTCCCTCCTCCTCTTCCTCCTCCTCCTCATCTCCCCCCTCCTCCTCCTCCTCCTCCTCCTCCTCCTCCTCCTCCTCCTCCTCCTCCTCCTCCTCCTCCTCCTCCTCCTCCTCCGCCTCGCCGAGGGCGCTCAGGGGCTGCCCGGACGGTCTCGAACGTCTGCCGGAGACCCGAGCTGCGGCCCGGGAACCACGAGGATCAGAGGAGGGCGAGTTGAGACAGCGGCCGTTGGCCTTCGGGGAGGGGGCCTCGTCGCCGCGTCTGGACGCAGCTCGGCAAGCAGGTGCGCTTGGACCCCGCGAGGGGCCCAGGGAGCGATGTTGAGCTGCCGCCGTTTCGACTCGCCCTGCTCCGATCCAGGCCGCCCAAGCGGTGCCCCACGCAGACGGGGCCAATGCATCGCGCCGCACCGCCGATGCGTCGGCGATGCGGCGAGGCGTGTGGCCCGATCCCTACGCCGACGCCTAGCCGATGCAGCGCGATCCTCCGACCCTACCCACTTGGGCCCATGTGGGCGGCTTCCACGAGGGCCCCGCTGCCGGCCTGGCAGAAGCTGGGCCTGGAGCACTTCGCGACGGTGTCGGCGGAGACTGCTCCGTGCGCGAGGGACGTCACGGTCCCGGACGGGGTTCTGCTCATGGGGTGCACCCCGATCTTCCATCCTGGTAAGGCTTCGAGTTGCGTTCGGACAGCCCGCCCAGGCAGTCCTGGCTGGCCTCGACAGGCCCCCCGCCTAGTCTGGGGCGGTCTCACGACCCTTGCGCCGCCTCTGGCGGCGTTCCGCGCCCCAGGGTTGAGGTGCCGAGATCGCCCCGGACTGTTCGGGGGGCCTGCTGAGGCCATCCGGGACTACTTGGGGGGCCGTCTGTGCGCAACTTGCAGCCTTACCATCCCATACCCTGCCTTCGGTGGACTCGGCCAAGATACCGCCGCGCATGGCGGCCACCTTCCACGTCGCGGTGCCGCACGTGCTGCTGGAGAGCCAGCAGCTGTGCGCGGTGCTGCAGGAGAGGCCGGCGAGGAGGGCGAAATGGTGGAGCAGCGGGTCCCTGCTGATGCTGATGGTGTCCAGCGCCCTGGTGGAGGCCCACACGCGCAGGTCGGAGTGGGCCACCAGCCTGGGCTGCTGGAAGCAGGACCGCGAGGCGTTCTTCCCGCTCGTGTGCGCCTTTCGCCTCGTGCTCGGGCTCGAGCTGCTCAGTCTGTGGAACGTCCATCGGCGCCCGCCGAAGCCTCCGACCACGGAGCAGGTCTTCAGGTTCCTCCAGGACGTCCCGGCAGGCATAAGGGGGAAGCCGATGAGGTTCGACACAGGGGCGGAGAATGGCGCGCAGCCGCTGATCCCTGCCCCTCTGGTCTCGCTGTTGGCGACGCCCGCCAAGAACTTCGACCCGCGCTTCCAGAGGTCAGATGGCACCACCTGTGCGTCTGCACCGATGCTGGCTAAATAATTAGGCCGATCCTGGGCCCAGGATTGGTGTACATGCCTTCCTGCCCAAGCCAGGAGGGCGTATACACCGATCCTGGGCCTGAGGTGAGCCTGGCCAGGATTGGTGTAGGTGAACCCTTGGCACCATCTTGAGAGGTGGGCGCCGGATGCCCTCGTGGACGGAGCCCCTGTGGCCCTCCAGGACTTTGCCGCGTGGGTGGGGCACCTGTCCCCCGGGCGCGTGGTCTATTGCTCGCACCGGTCGCGGGCTGGCGACTTCTACCTCAGGCTCGAGGACTAGGGGTACGAAGAACGACAAGCATCACAAACTCGAAGGTCCGCGCGGATTTCTCGGATCGGCGCTGGACCCCCCTCCCTGGCGCGCGGAGCGCGCCAGGGACGGCGCTGGAGGCGCCGCCAGGAGGGTCCAGCGCGGATCCGAGAAATCCGCGCGGACCTCCCGAGTTCTTTCGCTTATGTCATTCTGCGTTCCCCTAAGGACGCCGTGATGGTGGTCCAGTTCAAGATGTGGAGGGACGGGGAGGTCGAGGCGACGTCTCCCGAGGCCATCTGGGACATGCACAGCAGCGCCGTGGGAGACTGGGCAGCACCAATGGGGGGGCCGCCGGTTGGGGGGTGGCGTCGCCTCCTCCTGGGAAGGGGGGATGAGAGCCCCCGGCGGATTCCCTCCGCCACGCACTCCTTGGAGCCAACATTCTTCGGGGCGCATGTTGTGATTCTGCTGCTGGCGTGCGTGGGCACAGAGTTCGACGGGCGCGCTGCCCACTCTTCCATCCTGCTGCTGCTCCCTCTCATTCTCGTTGGGCTTCCCGGCGGCGATCCGCGTTTTTGGGGGCAGTGTGAGTGGTTGCGCTGTGCGGGCTGCAAAGTGGGGGGCTGCGTCTCACGTGGGACTGGGACCAGAACCGCTCACAGCGCCCAGCCACGTCAAGGAAACCCTCCCCGATCCGTCGATCCCTCCGCCTCGGGCTTCGGGGGGAGGTGGCGAGCCCCTCTGGCGGTGCCAATCAATTAGGAGACCCGGCGTGGTGGAAGGTCCCCTTGGTCTCGCACGTCATCATCGGCAGCGCGATCCCGAAGGTGCTGGAGAGGCGCCGTGGCCCCCTCTCGGCGGCCGACGAGCGGCTTCCTCCTCCTCCTCCTCCTCCTCCCCCTCCTCCTCCTTCTCCTTCTCCTCCTCCTCTTCCTCCTCCTCCTCCCTCCTCCTCCTCCCCCTCCTCCCTCCTCCTCCTCCTCCTCCTCCTCCCCTCCTCCTCCTACTCCTCCTCCTCCTCCTCCTCCTCCTCCTCCTCCTCCTCCTCCTCCTCCTCCTCCTCCTCCTCCTCCGGACCGGTGCTTGCATGGGTGCTGTCGTGCATCCTGGCGCAGCCGATCCAATTCGATTTCGACTCCGTGGCGATGCAGCCTGCTTCGACGCGTATTTTCCGATTCGAGCCGATACCCGGATGCGGCGCTGACCGACCCTGTCCCTAGGTCTGTAGCGCCCTGGACAAGTCGAGGCGGAGCTTTTGTTCTCGTTTTGTTTCTCTGGGGGCCATTTTTCGGATTCCCGCGGCCATCAAGAAGACGAACTCCGGGACGACACCGCTCCACCCAGGAAGGGCGTCCAGGGTTTCTGGGCGAACCATGCCAAAGCGTTCTCCTGGCAATGGGCCCAACCAGTTGCGGGTGCGAGTGCTGCAAGACATGTGGGACGAAAGAGGGGCACCTCCCTGTGGGGCCACGAGACGTGTGACGGGTGTGCCGACATTGGCCCTCGTCGGCCCTGCTAAACCTTACTGGGCCCTGCTAGGCACTGCTATGCCCTGGTAAGCTCTGCCAGGCCATGCTGAGTCCCGGTACGCCCTGCGGAGCCCTGGCAAGCTCTGCTATGCCCTGGTGAGCTCTGCTGTGCCCTGCGAAGGGTCGCGTGCTCAGGGCATCGGGCCTGCTTTAAGGTGGCGGGCACCTCGCAGTGCGCTGCTGGCGGCGCAGCCCTCCCTGCTCGGCGTGCTTGCCCACTTGAGGGTGCACGTGGCGGGGAGGGGCCGGCGGCGGCGGGCGGTTTCCCCGCCGATCCAGGCCAGTTCGTTGGCGGTTCGAGGGGTACAGTGGAGGTCCATGCCCAGTAACACTGCTTGCCTCCAGGGTGCCCTGGGTTTCTTGGATTTCGATGGTTTTGCTGTGGAGGGCGTGACGGTCCCACCCCCAAAAATCGATGGACGTCCTGGGGTCTCAGGGTTGGGTTTCTGGTGGAAGGTTTCTCGTGGATTGGCCTCCACTGTAGGCGGGTGGTTCGCGGTATTGGGCGCAGCAGCACCGATTGTGCTTGGGGGCAGTAGTGGCAGCTTGTGCGAAAGCGTCTTGATCAAGCGGCTGTTCACGCCCCCAGTTCACTGGAGAGCTCCGAGTGGGATCCAGTGGGGCCCAGCCCAAGCCGCGGCAGGAAGGCCCAGGGAAACTTCCTCAGGCTTTCCCACGGTCTGGACTGAGCTACCGAGGCATGGTTACGTGTTTCATCCTCCTGGCTGCACGGCCCCATCTGGCAAGAGGGTAAAGCTGAATTCGTCGCACTCGAGGCAAGACATGGTGTGTGCACTGGTGCAGTAAAGGGTGCCAGTGGGGTTTCTGGGAAGCTTCCCAGCAATTCCATGTTTTGCTCCGTAGTTACCCTGTCCTCGAGTCGCACACCATGGCAATGCATTTGCCGTGAGGTCCCACCAACGGGGCTAAGGCGCCCCAAATATTCATTTCTCGCGTGCGCGCGAGATTCATTCCGTTTTGTGCATAGCGCGCAAGGCGATTGGGCAGAATGGGATGCCGCCGCAACGCTCGCTTGGGCAAGCTTAGGTGCACTCTTGTGCCCACTGGCATGATCGCCCATTCTGAAGTAAATTGAAAGGGGGGCACACACATTGTCCACCCTATGGTGTCTTCTGATTTCGAAACTGTGCAGTCCGCTCCCGGCGGAAATTCGGGCAGTTACGCGCAGGTCCATGTGAGTGACGGAATCCAGAATTTGTGATCTCTTGGGCAGAGATCAGGTCAGACATGACAGCCTGCACCACGGATGGAAGAAATCGCTAAGGCATGTGACCACGCCCCCAGCCCGTTGGAGAGATTCGAGTGGGCTCTCACGGGCCCCAGGCGCGGCGGCGGCAGGAACGCCTAGGGGAATCTCCTCAGCCCTTCCCACGGTCCCGCTTGACCTGAAAGGGATCTTTGAACTTCATCCCCATGGCTGCATTTCCCCGAGACGGGACACGTCTTGTATTCGGGTGGCACACCAGTGCAGTGCGCCAGGCCGCTGGTCCCACCACCGGGCGTTTGAGGCGCCCCCCTGAGCCACATCACTTCAGGGGCCCCCTCCTCCTCACGTTCCCTGCCGGCGCAGAACATCGCCGCTGCCGCCGTCCGCCTCGCCTTGAGCTCAGCGCCTGGCCTCGCCAGCTGGGGGGCGGCCGAGACCAGGCCGGAGCCCCCATCCGGCTTCGCTCGCTCCTCCTCCGTCCCTGCCCGCCCGGGCACGTGCCCGCCTCTCAAGGCGCCCACTGAGGCCCGGGCAGCCTCGGCCCGATTGCCCAGCGCCGCCCGTGTCGGTGTCTGCTTGGCTGCTCAGCGCCTCAGGGCGCTCACAGAGGCCTGGGCAGTCTCGGCCCGACTGCCCAGCGCCGCCCGTGTCGGTGTCTGCTTGGCTGCTCAGCCCCCTCACGCATTGCCGCGTGCTCCGTGTGCTGGGCAGGCCCTGGTGTCCCTGCCCCCAGACCTCGCACGTGTTGAAAATTCAAGACGGAGCCTTTGCACCAGTGTCAGCCTTTGGGGGCAGTGCCGCTCTCCCTGGGGCTGACAAAACGACTCTGGATGAACAGTTAGCTCTGGAGAAAGTGTCGGGACTTCTAGGAACCTCGTATTGAAAACATCAAGACGTCGGATCTCTGGGACCTTCTTTGACGTCGCATTTTTAAGTACCTCGGGCCCCGTTGAGATCCGGACCCCTTCCCCAGGACCAGCTTTCCATCCCGAGTCGTTGTTTGACTGCCTCTGGGCCAGGAAGCCCAGGGGTCCGCGGTTCGGTCGGTTCTGCAGCGTCGCAGTCGGCTGCGCTCGGTCGGCTCGGTTCGGTCATTTGTCGCGTCGCTCCGGTGTCGGTGCGCCCTTCTGGAGGCTGCCTGGAGCCGGCCGTCTTGGATCCGTTTCGGTCTTGCTCTTTGTCTGGCCAGCCTTCCGGTTGTTCTGACGACGTGGGCGGTCCTGGGAGCAGTCTGTAGGGGCCGAGCATCCTGAATGGAACAGCCATTTCGTTTCGTTTTGATTGCTTGTCTGGCACACTACAGTGCCGTTTTTAATACATGCTCCGCGTGCGGATCATGCATGAATCTATTGAAAACAACGGTGAGTTCGTGCACGAATCTATTCACAAATCAATCATGTATTAAGCATCCTATATAAAAAAGAAAAAACCGATGTGTTAAAAACTGCCCTGTAGAGCGCGCGTGCGGATTGCATGTGCCGCGCTGCGACGTAAAATAATTGTCGCTATGTTTCTTCTTCGTTTGGTTGTTTGGTCTCTACCTGTTGCCGTCTTACTATGGCCTCGGCTGTCCCGCTCGAAGGCAGATGGGGAACGGCAGCTGCCTGCTGGTCCCGGCGGAGAAGCCGCTCGCCAAGGGCCTGCCAGAGGTGAAGGCGGCCGGGCGTGCAGGAATCTGGGCTTGCTGAGCTCCCCGCCTCCACCAGGTTGCCCTCCCGCGTCTTCAAATTCCAACCACTCCTGTGTATTTGTGGCTTGGACTAGGGGCAGAAGCAAGGCATCACGATACTGAGTTGCTTGTCACTGTAGCTCACGACCTCGTCGTTCTTTCATTACATCTGCTTTGCCATATTCTTTCCAGCTTTCAATTCGCCATGCGGCGCGCCTCGGATGGTGGCCACGGGCCCGCCAAGGGACGTTCGCTCCACCTCCTCCCTTCTCGCCTTCCCCCCCGTGCTCTGTCCCTGGTCTCCCCAGAGCTCAGAACTGTGAAGAGCAGGCTGGGCACTGTCTCTTCTTCTGCCGACGGGCATGGCGACGAGCTTGATCTCGCAGACGCCCTCCCAAACCCAGATCATGAAGTAACGCCCCCCTTGACCTCCCCCCTCCCCTTCCTTCTCCCCGTCCTCGCTCTCCTCCCCTTCCGCTCGCTCCCTTCCTCCCCTGCCTCCCACCCCCCTGCTTCTCCTTTGCCCTCCGCCTCGCCGCCTCCCCATCGTTCTCCTCCTCCGCCCCCGCCTCCTGCCACTCCTCCTGCTCGTCTTCCTCCGAGCGACGGCGTCAGCTGACCACTTCACCGATTCTGGCCAGCCCGAGGAGGAGGAGGAGGAGGAGGAGGAGGAGGAGGA